GATGCTTCATCTTCTCCTTTGAATAAAGAGTATCATAAACATTTTCAATGATGAAAGTATTACGACTATACATGTTCGTGTCTCTAAACGACATATATGAAGCGAGAAGCGAACACAAAAAAATCAAACCAAAATGTTCTTCATCACATTTAACCTCCAAGGTTTCAATATTAACGACGATTTCCTTAAACACGACTAGGTAATTTTTAAGAGATATACCTTCTGTCATATAATGAGAATAAAAGCTCGGCTTCAAGTGTAATTTGCTAGTAAGACTCTTACTCATGCACAATTGCTCCAATCTTAACCATAACGCAGTGGCAGGCTTCTCCTTCAAAATGTTCTAGAAAAAACTCGTTGATATATAATGAATATTAAGAAAAGATCAACAATTGAAATCAACAATTCAACATTTTATTAAATTTCATCAACTGAGGATTACAATGCATATTTATATCTTAAATACTAACCTTACAAACTCATCCATGATCAACCAACCATGTTTAGGGTTTATTGAGACGTGTTTGGTGGGCTAAATTCAATGTTGCCATACAAATTAATAATTATTGTTGGAAAGGTCTCGAGAAGATCTTGTTGACTTATGGTTGATCTCATGTTTTGATTATAACAACCAAAGTATTTTTTATCTCTAACATTTGTATTCGAGTCTTCGTTTTTTACATGCTGCGAACTTGATCAAATTGAAGTCAAAACAAGTGTCACCAAAGGATGTAAAGGTGACAATCAAGAAAGCTCAAAACGGAAATGGAGTATTCACAATCGAGTGTGAAAATCGAACATTCTCAATCAAACACTCATGCCAAAACAATTGGAGGCAAATCAAGTACCTGTGTCAAATTTAAAATCGAGCAACAAATCGAACTCTTGAAGAAGTCAAGATCGAAGCCACATTCAAGAAATTATGAGCTAAACTTCGGAGTAAGATCAAATACTTGTTCTTTTAACAAAGAATGTGAATGGACTAACACTTTGATATTTGACGATGAATACTTAAGCTCATAATCATCATATGCATTAAAAATATTTTGAATGCAACATTTTGATTAAATACAAAAATGACTTTTAAAAAGATATTTTGACTTGAAAAATACATTTTTATCTTGAAATATTAGTTAATAATATATTCCAAAAGTCCATACCTTTAAAAACCTTCAAATCGGGTCAAACAGAGCTACATCGTGAAAGAGGATCGCCAAACAGCCGGGGCGGTCGACCGGCCAAATATGGCCGTCAACCGGACTTTTCCAACGGTCTAAAATTTGACCGTTTCGACTTCTGATTTTTCCTATACAAACGGTCATATTGGTCATCCGGAAATTGGTGATCGACCCGATTGGTCATCCAGTTTGATCAAAAATTTGAAGTTTTCCGTCTCTATAAATACCAATTCACTTGTCATTTATTATAACAACTAGAGAGTTTCCAATTGACAATTGAGATTCTTGTGAGCTAAAATTGTATTGATTTTTTATCTTATTTATTATTATCAAATC